GGCACAATAAATACATTTAGATAAGTAATAATTATTTTTAAATTAATTCACAATTTTTAACGCGTTTTTAAAAAGTTTTCCTCTTCTTTGTAACAAGTTCGAACGTCGTACTGAACACATTTTTTTCACAGTTAACTGAAATTAAATTCAAAATAGGAGACTGAAATTAAGCGAAGAAACAGAATCTTAAATTAAACAAATACTTTTCTTTTATTCACGTAATTTTTAAGGCACTCAAATAAAAGTGGCCTAAAACAAATGAAGAAGAGAACCTCCACCATTTTTGCGAATAGTTCGTGAGAAAAACAAGCGAATTCTCTTGCCAAAAAAAATTATAAATGGGCAACGGTATGTAAAATAACCTGCATAAGTATACATACAAAAATAAGTTTGAACTTATGAAATATACATAATAATAAAACAATGAAGCAATAATTAATGAAAATAAACTAACAACAATGGAGGTGTTGGGCAGAAACAACGCTCCTCAATAGCAACCGGGAAAAGCATGATTGACCTATTTCAAACTATGGATGCTCAATGGTGCATTAATCAAGTTTACATCCAAAGAGAGAATCGTAATTGAAAAAAATCGTCATTTCACAGCTGATACGCAATAATAAAATTGTTTCAATGGTTAAATAATGATGTTGATAGAACAGTAACATGTGAATTGCGATTTCGATGTTTCTAGTTTATATATCCGAATTTTAAAATGTTAATTTTGTTAAATTTGTACTCATTGCATTTTTTTCTTTTCGACATAGTTATATGGTCTTCTTCTTATCTGCCGGTTGTACAGGTCACTGTAAATTAGAGATTTCTCTTATTTTTCTTGTAGTTTTGATTTTATTTATTGTTGTGCAAGATGGGAGAACAATAATAAGAGTGCCTTTCATTTCAAATGGGTGCGCCTAGCTATGTTCAGATTCGTTTTTTCAATGACGCGGGGAATTTTTGGTTAGTTACTTACTAGCTTTAAAAATTTACCATTCAGTTATTCAAACTACCAGTTTTATTGTTAAATTTAGCGTTTCAAACGATTTATACCAAACATTGAATTATTTCCCTTATCTTTTCTCTAAAGCTTTTGAACTCGCCTCATATTTCGAGCCCTCCTTTGGAGCTGAAAACAGAAATAAGATGAAAAAATACCGTCCGACGGTATTGCAATATAATTTACTTAATAATTATGTTGTTTTTCGTAAAGAAAATTAATCTTAGTGAAGAAAAATGCAAGGGTTTTTTTTTTTTAAAGTCAATCAAATGAGAAAATTAGATTATGAGAAACATAGGGGGGGGTTATTTATTTTATTTTTTGTGGAGGTCTCTGGAAAGGTTTTCCTTCTTTAAGAAGAAGGATGAATTCTTAGTTCTTACCATTTTTTGATTTCATAATGTAACGTTATTTTTAGTATTACTTCACTAGAGATGTTTGCTTTTGTATGACAAACAGTTAAAACTGAATTACCTCCCGAGTGCTCAGAATATGAGGTTAGTTTAAAAATTACTTTACATTTGATGTAAGGGAAGTAAACCGGCTTTTTGTAGGCAGACAGTTTGAAATGTTTTTAAATTTTAAATTTAATATCGGTTTTTAAATTTTTAATTTATCACTAGTTTATTTTTAGGATCTGGTAGTGAGTTAGATTTATTTTTAGAATGAATTATCAATTTGGTAATTTCCCTTCCTGTCATCTTTTTGTCCAAAAAAAAAAAAAAAGAGAGGTAAATTAATTATTGAATCAAAATCAAAAGTTTGTAAAATTTAAATTTAAGGCGAACATTTTACAAAACTTGGAAAGATTCCTTTAAAATCAAGGCAAACCAGGATTTTTTACACCTTTTTTGTCTTTTTAATTAATAATACAAAACAAACATTCGTAGCTTTTAAATGAAAAATTTTAAACACGTGATTAAAATATTGAAACTTTAAATAACAATGCGTTTATTTAAAAAAAGAAAGAAAAAGAAAAACGGTTGATTTTCTTGATTTAAAAACGATTTTTAATTAAAAATAAAATCCTGGCAAAAATTTAAAATTAAAATAAATTTACTTACTTATCCAGTCAATTAAAACAAAATTTTGTAAGAGATACTTTATTTTTAATTCTGATATGTTTGTACTTTTAACAATATTTCGACCGGTAATCTCTCCGATCGTATTTATTTTTAAACTGACGTGATGTAGGATTTACCTGTCAATATCGTTCATAAACTAAACACATCATGACATCTAAATTTTACCTACAATCATATGGATTACTGGAGAGATTATCGATCAAAATATAAAGAACAACACAACTGAATATTTTATCCAGAAGATAATTTAAAGCTTTCACACTGGTAAACAGCATTAAAAACTAAATAAAAAATTGACATTTAAATTCATTGCTTCATTGGGCATCCATAGAAAAGAAAAGTAAAACGTAAATATTGCATCTTCAACTTGAACACTTCCAAAAGAAAACATCCAAAAAAAACAATAAATTTTCGAATGTAGTTGTTTAGTTTACAGATATAGATATATTTTCTTACCCATTGAACTCCTGGCGTGTTTATGATGGTGTAAAGATGCATCCCGACTATTTGGTAGTCCACCGCTGCTTTTGGCTGGAGCACACTCGGCGACTGAAGAGGCCCGGGTTTTCTTTGGCTCAGCCATCAGATAGTAGTACTAAGTACAATACATTCACTTTGTTTTGTTTTTGTTGTTTTTAATGTTTAAAAACTAACCGAAAAATAAAAGTAGTTAAAATAAATACGAATTTCACTTAGGTTTTCTAAATTGAATTATTTTTCTTTCCCCTCTTTTTTTTTTTAGGATTATCTATATATATTTTTTCTTTGATTGTAAAGAGGATGCCACGACGGTTCTTTTTTCTTTAATTTCCAAGCGGCTCTGTCAAACAAGTTCCAATTATTTTTGTTGTAATTAATATTATTATTGATGACGGTCAACCACAGGATCGAAACATTTGGAGCTTCTTCTCCTGTAATTAAAACAGCATTATTCATCATGGGTCATTCTAATAATTTTCATTTATATTTTTGTTGATTATACCCCAAAAAAATCTTTGCATGCCCGGACGGACTCCAAAGTCGTAAAAAACACCCTGCACACCAAAGTGCGTGTGGCTAGATATGGACTTGTTCAGCGTGTTCACCTCGTAAAATACTTTTAGTTTTACTTTTATATATATATATTATATATATATGTATATATATATATATATTTGTATGTGTGTGTATATATATGTATGTATGTATATTGTATATTTATGTGTGTTTGTGTGTGTATATATATATTTTAACTATAACTATATATATATATATTATATATATATATATTGGTTTTATTGCCAATGCTTATTCCTTTCTTCTCTCCCCCTGGCTTCTACTCTCTCCAGGTTTTTCCACCTCACACAACAACCCAACCCAGGTTTTTTCAGGAAGCTGCCATATTCTCAAATGAGATTCTCTCTAATTGCCGCTCAATAAAAATAAAACAAAAAAAAAACTAAATAATGATTATCTCAACTATCAACGAAAAAAAATGCATTAAATTAAATTAAAATTAATTCCATTATAAAAGAAATACAAAATATCAAATTTTAATAACAGCTCCATTTATATACCCAAATAAATTTTTGAATTAAAAACTATATTCAATATTAAAAGTGGATGTTCACTTTTTCTATCAATTACATTAGAAATTGATCCCCTACTTTGAAACCGCTTAGCTCCAAAGAAGAAAGACGAAGGAAGGGGGTAATTTTTAAAATGTAACTAAATGCTTCCATTTTAAAATAAAATGAAATCTGATTGTTATTGTCTATTAATATTTTATTTAAAAAAAAAAAGTAAAAGGAATTTTTGTTTGGCGGCTACAATAATAATACAAATAAAAATTGCACCTACTCCTCTCTATAAATTGTTTCCTCTTCCCACTATTATTATTTAGCAGAGGTCAACGATGACGCCAATGACCCGGAAGTAGTTGACAGCTCAAGCCTACATAATAATATAGCGCAACTATAACTGACAGACGTCACTATTCTGTACGTAGACATATGGCGGAACATTAAAATATTTTTTAAGAGAAGAAATAAAATATGAATAAAACTTGTCTGAAATTGTTTGTGAATTATTTTCTTTCTTAAACCGTGTTTGAAAAAAAAAATCATGCTTGCATTTTGTAAAAATGGTAACTTACACGAAGCACTATGTTGCGTGGAGACTATTTGATACGTGGAGACTAGTTGATGTAATTAGTCTCGCTTTTACTTCCTCACTCTTTCTTTGATTGTTTCTTTCCCTTTTTCTCACACTCATCCACTCACTCTTTAATTAAGGTTGTTTCGCTCATCTCCTCCCACTCTCTTTATCAGCTGTTTTTCCTCTTTCATTTTCTTTTAGACTCAAATTGTCAACACATTTTTTTCTAACTTTATTCGTCTTCTTTAACTTTCTCTTTCACTTACCAACACTCTTTCCGTCACCACTCCGCCATTTATATACCTTTTTATTTCTTTAGATCTTTTTTGTTCCAGGATATTTTCTCTATTTAATTTCTAAAACTCTTTTCCCTTACTTTATTTTTTTACTTTTTATCTAATTTTGTTTTATTTTTACTTGTTTCTTCGCATTATTTTTTAAAATTCTAATTATTTCCTCAATCCCTTATTTATCCACTTACTTACCCACTCGTTTAGTCTGTTACATACTCATTCCCTCCTCTCTATTTTTAGCAGCTCATTTATTTACTCTCTCTCTCTTTCCTCTTTCTTATTAATGCCATCCTACCCAGTCAGTCTTTTTAGTCTTTCCTCATTTCTTCCCCTCTTACTTCGACTTTTCAACTGATGAACAACAGATTCCTACGCGCTTGTTATATTTTTCTCCTGGAGGAGCAGCCATCTTGTTTGAACTGTGCCAGTTGATTTGCAGGGGTTTTATTGTGTCGTTGCGTTTAATTCGCCGCCCAACAGCCTGCAAACATGGATGAGAGTTACGACGTGATTGTTTTAGGCACCGGATTGAAGGTGAGAAGCTCCTAATATATATTTTTTTTTTTAAATTTGAATTTAATACTTCCGGATTTTAGTACAGTTCACCTCCTTCCCTCCTATCTCTTGGTTCGCTAATTTTGATGATCACTTGTGAAGGTGTCATTTCTTTTCTTTTTTTGTCTTTAACGGAAAAAAAAAAATGTTAATGCTGCTAGTTTAAAATATTTTAAAGGCAGATATTTATTTTGTAGATTATGATTTTTAAATAAATGTGATTAAGAATTTAGTATTTAACGATTTTTGTAATCATCTGTCAGGTGGGTGTGTTACTTTTGTGCAATGAATAAAAAAAAGTCAGTGTTGAAGAATGTCTTTTGACGTAGTCGCCAAATTCTAATATTCTTTAAAAAAATAATTATATTTAATATGATCCTTTTATTTCACACACATATATATATATATAATATATATATATATATATATTTACAGTAAATGTAATTTTTTCTAAGATTATAATTTATTTTCTGATCTGATTTGTGACAAAAAAAATAACTTTCATACATTGACTTCATTCATTCATTATGGAAGCAAGTCGATTTTTCTTTTTTCTCTTTAACTAAATCCAGACATTTTTAATAGAATTTTTAAACATCTTTGTCATTGAAAACGTTCAAAAAGGTGTCTATTATTATAATAATAATTATGTGTGTGCACATATGTGAATGCGAAAGTCTGTAAAATGTCAGCTTAAACTCTTGACTCTGCAGTTGCTCTAGTATATCTTGGTATGTTTTTATTTATTATATCTAATATTTGCTTTTAAAGTATTGTCCAATGTTTGTTAATTTTACTGTTGGCCATTGGTATTATCGTTGTAATACTAATTTTAAGCCCGACAATTGCCATTTGATTGCTAAGAAGACTAGAGTACTAACTACGACTACCATAGTATCATTACTGCTGCAGTTACTGCAACTATTATTTCTACTAAATACAAATAGTAACTTTCTTACTGCTACTACATCTGTTTGCAACATCCAGGAATGTATTATTAACTATATTTTGCTTTACTTTTCCTAACTTTATCATGTTGACTATCATCCCGCTAAGTAGTAATTCTTTTCGTTTCATTTTATAATGGACTTTGAGAAAATAAATGATCAATTTATAAATGTTAATCTAGAAAACTTACTGATCTAGTACACAAATATTCATTTAAAGACTTATTATTAGAAAATTAATTTTATTTTAAATATTGCATAAAAAAAACTTTAAAATTCTTATAAAAAAAAACTTTATAATGAAAAGACTTTCTACAAAAGTTAAAAAATGTATTTATGGTGTTTGTGTTGTTTGTTTTTTTGTTTTTTTTCCCTCCAATTATCCCCAAAATGTGAATTAACAAAAATAAAATCCGGCTTTTTTTTTCCGTCTTAAACTGTTGAAAAGCATGTCACTTGTTATAAAGTACAAATTTTACTTTGGAATTCTTAAACTAAAAAACATCTAGGCAATTATTATTAATAAATCTTTTTTTTTTACTCATCTTTTTAAAGATTTTTTTTTTTTTTTTTTTTTTTTCGTTATCTATAAGTTTTTCTAAAAAAAAAAGAAAAACATTGTTAGAATTAACTGCAAGAATTGTAGTCTTTTTACTCTTTATAGCTTGTTAAAAAAAATGATTAAAAAAAAAAAAACACTGGATTTTTCCCTTTCGGGTTGGTGGGGGAGATTCTTTTGACTGAACTGCATATAAAAAAATGGTTGCATGATTAATGTCTTCTTTTTTGCTAATAATAGCGATTATTAAATATTGTTTCCTTTTTATTTTGCCCTAAGTGTTGTTTTTTGCCTTGTATCCTGCTATTATTTTTGTTGAACTATCACTTGTTCTGAAGGAAAGCAGATGTTCCATTCATGTAGTAAAAAAAAAATGAAGGTCTGGAATTTTCACCTGCTTCTTTTCCAAGCTTATTTACGTGTCTCTATATAATGACTTGAATATTTTGGCAATGAATTGCATTTTTATTTAGGATCCTCCTCCCAAATCACTGCATGTATTAAAAATCGAAAACCTTACTCTGGATTTTAAGATGTTTTAAAACAAATTTATAATTTATGTCTATTTGTTTTTTAATGTTTTTCCAGCCTTTTTTTGTCATAATTTAATAGATGAATAATACTGAGTTACTGGATCGATCTACGATACGACGTGTTTTCAACACATCTATTCTAGTCTCTTTTTTAATGATCCACCCACTCCCAGACAATCGGCGTGGGGGAGGTGACTTCTTTCGTTAATCAGAAAATTATCATGTTCAAATAATTAAGTTTTAGCATTGAATTGAAAATTAAATAATCCCATAATGGAAGCAGTAAATCTAAAACTTTAGAGATGCCCCCTCTTTTTTTTTTTTTTTTTTTTAAAAAAAGTGAGGGGGGGACAGTAAGTAAAAGTAATAATAATAAAAAAAAACACCTCTTGGAACGGATTTCCTAAATTAAATAAATTGAAAATATAACTATTTTATTTAAGAGTATTTATGAAGAGGTGTAGTAACTACAAAAAAGTAGTGTGTCAATTGGAGGATCGTACGATTCTGTTGACATATCGTTCGTGTAATGTTTGCTGCAAGAAGAGGTTGCAAAATTTGTAATGTTGAATCGGACCTGAAAATGGCGGAATAGACTTTCTTTCTCTTTTCTACCCAACTGTCCTTTGCAACAAATTTTAATTTATATCAATAAATCGATTTTTTAAACATGTTCTTTTTTTTTCTATTTCTTTTTAGAATTGAAAATTATTTTATAGTGCGAATTGTGTATCTTTTTATTTCTCTTTTTTTAAAATTTCTTAATAAATGTGTATATTTTTTCCCCATTTTAAAGTTTATTTTAAAATAAATATTTAAATAAAACTACTGGTTGGAAAAATAACATTTTCAAGATTACTTTTTTTACTCATTGCTGCTGTAGCTTATAATTTTCGGTTTAATGCCGCAACACTTAGTCACATGGAGTTGGGGTGTCAGTGTAAATGTCACACTGGTTTCTCTATCAGATTTTGCCATTACTAATAAAATATTCATAAATTTATTTTTTATTTTTTGTTTTCATTTTAACTTAATTCATTGTGACCCCTTTTTAAAAACAAATGCTTCTCTTCTGCAACTGCTACCATCTTATTGTTACTGCTGCTGTTCAAACACAGTATGGAGGCAAATATCTAGACAGAAAGACGAGAAACTGCAAGAGGACATTTTGTACTCCCCCTCTCTCTCTCTGTCTCTCTCTCTCTCTCTAGTAGCAGTCGTCGTACCCTGCATCCAATCTTGTCTTAGTTAAATTTTTCAGCCTCTCGGCAGTTTTTTGTTCTTTTATAGCTGCAGCCATATGTTTCAATGCTTTATTGATTAATAATTGGTAAAAATGTAACAAGTGCATCCGGTTGTGCTCAATGTCGTGTGTGCGTGCACCCATATAAAAATGTATTATTAATACTGTATCGATATTATCAATAATGATCAGTACATTGGATGGTGTTTCATTCTCTAAAAAAAACACTCTTTACTTTATTTTTAAAAATTGTTTTGAAAATTTAATTTGTACTTTATTAGGTAATGTTGGATTCTAACAATTGTATAAATGTGCTGTTTGTGATTGCCAAATTGTCCATAAGGTGTAAATTTGACAGGAAGAAAAAATGTTAGTAAACAGAAACACCTTGTATTTACTTTTTGTCAGTCTTAAAAGTAACTCTTGTAATGTGTTCATTGCTTTTGATTTTAATTCAATTAAAAAAAATTTTAAATTAATCAATTTTGCATATTTACAGCTTTTTGTCTTTTTTATGCTAAATCACTTATTTTCTGACCAATTTAAATCAGGTAAAACAAAATTATATATGAAGTAGATTTAGATATCAACCTTAGCTGTTCTTTATTTATTGTTCCAGCTGTAGTACCACCTGCTGTTTTAATTCATTGCTAGAATACATGAAGGACTAAGTCTCCCCTCATTTTAGGTGTGGGGGGGGATGCCCTGGTGAGCTACCAATACTTGGGTCTGCTCCAGTTGTACTAAGACAATTATCCAGTAGCAACTACATGCAGTTTACTAATTTGTCATTCAATTGAATTAGTCATTCTGTACTACCAACAATTGAATTTTTAAACTGTTAGAAAGGCTCTAGAAACATAAACACTATATCTGGTTTTATTATTAAAAAGCATTCTTAATAATTTTGTAAATTTAAAAAAATTGAATTTTATAGTCACTTATGAATGGGACTTTTGCCAGTGTTGAACTGTGTGCTATCATTTAGTTTGTTTTAAAGTTGGAGAAAAACAGAAAAAATAACTTTGACTTTGTATTATCCACAAGTATATCTTATGCAAAAGATTTTAATTCATTTGAAATCAAGAGAAAAGCTTTAATTTGAAAAATTTGTTATGGCTTAGTTATGTCATAATAATGTACCAGATTTTTTAAATTAGTTTTTTCTATAGACTTAATTACTTTTTATTGCTGCTTTTATTTTGTATTTTGGCTACTATTAGGATCTTTGAGAATGTTATGATGGTAAAAAATATGGTTTTTCAGTCAATATCAGTCTCTTTACTTGGCTGCCACAGTTGTTAATGTCATGTTACCTTTTTTTTTTTCATTCTCTGATTTCTCTTTTCTGACGAGTAACTTTCATGTATAAAGGAAATTTTGTCATCACTTTCAACTCTTTTATTTTTTTTATTTTTAATTTTATTTTTTTTTTCCTTTTTTTCTAGAAAAAGCAAAATCTTGTGAGTTTCTCTTAATGGCAAATATAACTTAGAGTAATTATAGAATCAGTGTAAACTTGATTCTGATTAGATACATATAAAAATGTGCCAATGTTTGCTCTTTGAACTTGAGCTTATCAAAACATTGATTAAATTTTAAAAGCTGTAACCTAATTATAATCTTCTAATGCTTTACAGTTACATGGTTACTTAAAGATTACTAATTATGTAGCTACCCATCTCCATGGAAGATGGGGCAGTAAAGAAGCACTTTTTTATTAGTGGAATAGTAAGAATAAGAAAATCTAGCCTTTACATTCATAATGTGAGAATTGATGGTTTTTTTGTTTTTTTTTTTCACTCTGGACTTTGCTTATCTACCTGTCAATTGTGCATAGTTTAGTTGCATATCAAAAAAGTGCTCTCTTAGCATTCATATTTTAAGTGTCAAATTTGGGCGGGGGGGTGAGCAAATTTTTTTTTTTCCCTCAATCATTTCAAAGAAATAGAAGTAATGACAAGCTAATTAGAGCAAATCGGTATCCAGAAATATATATATATATAACAGCACAACTGCTAAATCAATTGACTCAGGGCTATGATTGAGGTATTGTCAGGCTAAATTATTTCTGAAAATAATATTTACTTTAACAATTGGCTATTTTCAACCATAATGGTCTCTCTTCTCTCAATACTTGTGATTGCTATGGCATAGTTAACTTTCCCTTCTCATCCCGTAAGATCTGTAAAAAAAAAAAATGTAAACATGTTACATTTTTGCTATACTCCAGTGGCATATTGTTTTGCTCAATTATATACGAGTAATAAATGATACAGCTATTTTTTTTTTTACCCTGCTTTCAGAATGCCTCTAAAAGCAGTTGTAGAAGAAAAGACTTTATGCATGTTTAAAATAAAATTAAACAATCTCAATTGCCTGATATGTAATCCTGTCAATAATGTATATCTATCTAGTGTATTAGTATAGTATTAGGTGCTCACATATTATGAAAGGAACCTAATGTGATCAGCAAGCCTCATCTAGGATTCAAATAACTATTAAAAGGACTTGAAACATTTTTTAACATAATTAAGATGTTTGAAATATCTTACCTTTTTGTCATCTTGTTAATTATATTTTATGGGGATGAATTCTTCTTGCTTAACATTTCCCATATCTAAGTGGTGCAGAAAAAGTTCTTGATTTTATATAATTTCCTAAATCTGTATTTCAATAACCAAACATCAGATTAGAGTGAAGAGCTTTTCAGCACCCACTTTTATATACATTTCATCCAAATTTGCCTGTCTTGTTACAGAATTAAAACCAGATTGGCTGGAATTAAAATATACTGCCACTATCTCCAAAAGGTTTTTGTATTTGTTCATTCCTTTTAGTGTGATATGTCTAGTTTCCTGCACCAACAGGGCTTAAAGAGAATGCACTTTATGATAGGGTTTGAATCTGCAACCCCCTTGTAGGTGAAACTGATTTGGTGTACTTTAGTTTGCTCTGTGTGTGTGTGTGTGTGTGTGTATATACACACACACACACAACTAGGCAGCTTGATTTAATCAAATAGTTACAGTTGAGAAAAATGTTCACAAGACAACCTTTTGCTCATAAAAATAGCCCTCCACAAACTTCAAGGAATGTTTAAAAACAAAGTAAATTATATCTCAATCCATTTTAATTAACTCTTAATTTCCTATCCTGGACTATACTATAAAAACTGAAACTTTTAATTAAAAAGTTGAAAGAAAAAAAAATTAGCTTTTTTTTTTTTTTTTTTTTTTTTTTTGAAGTCAGTTTTTTTTTTTTTTTTTTTGGTGGGGGGTCAATAATCTTTTCAGCATTGTATTTGGTTTGCATATTACTTTTGTATATTTATACCTTTTCAGTGTTGTGTGTGTTGTTGGGTTTTTTTGTTTTTTTTAATGCAAGGGAAATAGCTAATGCTGCAAGAAAAGCACTAGGATAAACATGAGAATGTACTGAATTCTTGGCTTGACCCGCATTCCCGTTTTATTTTGAAGTTCTTGGTTGGGCTAAAGGTTTGTCAAACTTTGAGATTTTTTTTTTTCTAAATTTTGCTGAATGACATTTAAGGTTTCTTTCAGTGTCTACCTGACTTCATCTCCTTAATGCATTGTATTTATATCTTGGCTTACATTCAGAATCCTTTTTTCTTTTTTCTTATAATGTTGACTCAGTACAAAGCCCAAGAGTCAGTCAAGTTAGATGGTTACTGAAGGTGGTCATTGTGTGAGTGATAAGAGTAAGTGATGCAGTTAGAGGATATGTGGGGAAGATAACTGTTAAGCCTGGACTTGAAGAGGTTAAGATTATAGTGGTTGAGAAGCATCCTCTTAGTAATCCATTCCACAGAGTATTGGTTTTTCTACTCAAGTAGAACTTATTGGTAATGGAATACAAAGGAAATGGAGTGCTTCACTCTAAGCAGCATTGTGGGCCTTATCTGTGAAGGTTAGAGTTGGAAGAGCTAAGGGATTTAGTCATGGAAATAGCCATCTTTAAGAGGTAGACAAAGAAAATGCATAAATGCTGCTTGAACAACTTTCCTATTTTTATATATAATTTTAAATTATTCCAGGTTAATTTCACACAACACACACGGAATTGTTTACTAAATAAAATTTTTTTTCTTCTTCAGTGTTGACCTCCTCAATGACTTTACTATAGCACTGAAATTAACTTAGCTTTTGATGACAGGAAATCATTGTCTATAATGAAGTTAGAATCATGTTTTACACTTAAATTTTAATAACTGATGATAGCCCAAAATGAGATTCATATCTCTGTTAAATTAAACTATTATTTAATATCTAAATATTTTACTTTAAAATTTTAGTAATATTGACTGTCAGAAGTTATATGAAAATTCTCCTTGTTAAAAATATTTCCCTCTCTAAGGGATTTTAACTGGTCCTCAGTGGATCATATCTCTCTCTCTCTCTCTACCAAAATTTTAAAATTATTTTACTAGGGTACTACCCAAACTTTAAGATCTAATTTAGACTTTGACTACATTCAATTTCTTTTCTAAATATCCCTTATGATGATGTTTTTTGCTAGCAGACTATTGGAAGGTCAGTGCTATAGTGACCCATCTATTTCTTGATCTGCTAAATAAACATATCAATTGTTTAAAACTTTCTTGGTTTTATCTGTCAATAAATATAGTCTATGATTAGCCACAAATTCCAATGCCGAATTCAATCTTTTCTCATTACAAAGGAATTCTAGATGTTTCTCCTATTTTGCTCTGTTTTTTTGTATAAAAAGTAAGAAGTAGAAATTCTTTGATTTCCAGCTCAATTCTTAAAGGGTTGTTTAAATAGATTGTCTAATATTCTGCAGGAATTATTAGCTATAATCTTAGGATCATTGGATATTATCACCTTATATTCTTTAATCCTTTTAAATTCCTGGTCCTTTTTTTCTCTCTCTCTTTCTCTCTCTCTTTTCCTAAATCAGCCAGAATGTAAAACAATTTTGTGCTTTAAACAAGATTACTTTAGCTCTTTTTTTCTTTTTTTTTTTCTCCTAATCCAAGTTGTATTTTTTATCTTAAATCCTACTCTTATCAATTTTATTTTGTCATAAACTAATTTTGTTTGCATACACAAGTTCATTATGCATTGGTGATAAGGGTTCGGTTTTTCATAGATTCTTTCTATTCCATTTAACTTATTTTTAATTTATGTGGTGTTATGGGGTTGTATGCACTTAGATGAATTTTTTGTGTGCATACATTGTTGTTTCCAAAAGCCAGTCATATTTACATATTGTGAATGATTTTAGCTTAAGATTATTCAATTTGGAACTAAATTTTAAGCTTCATGCTGACACGGATCAAGACATTTTTAAAAAAATAATAAGAAAAAAAAAGTAGCTTGCTAACAAAGCCAATTTTGCCTGGAAGAAGAAAGTAGGCATTTTCTAACAGGTAAAGGCTGACAAGAATCTTATTTTTAAATGGTCTACAATTTCATAGGAGTTGAATTTTTTTCTTCTTACTCACTCACACATTTCTTACAGTTTTTAACTTTGTTAGATCTGAAAAGGAAAAAATTATACTTTTTCTCCTCCCCTCTCTCCTTCCCCACACTTGTTGCTGGGAGATACCTACTGCTTTACCAACTGATAAATTGTACTTAAATGATTTTAGGAGGGGGAAGAAAAAAAATAAAGCAAATAGAAAATATATTTATTTTTCCAAATTTTAGTCTAATTTTTCTTTGTAAACTACAGTTACCCATGTCATTTGATAAAACAGAGTTAAACTTATTTTCTGTTATAGTAAGGTTTCTCTTCTCGATAAGATGAAATAATTTCAAATGTCTGCTAGTTGGATAGTTGACTTCATTCAGGAGTGAATAATGAAGCATGAAATTTTGTAATGTTGAAATGATTGCTGCTAAGATAATTTTAATCATATTTCTTAAATATTTCAATGTTGAGTAAGCATTTTTCACTTATGAGGAATTCCGTTCTTTGAAATGTAGGTGTGCATACATGTAATCTTTTAACCAAGAGATTAAAATTGTTTCATCAATATTGGCATGGTCTTATGAAATTAAAGACATAAAGAATGAAAACAAAATCCTATTTCATCTTTACTGTTAGGAAATAAAAAAAAAAAAAAAAAATGTAATTTCAGGCTGTTCTAATTTGTATGCCATACTTTGACATCTTTTATAAAACCTTTATGAAAGATGTCATACTTTAGAAGAATAATTAATCAGTGTAGCATAATCACAAATATACAAACTAAGTTTCTTTCTGTATGTGAAGGGTTACTTTATCTTAACATAAAATTTTCCCTTCAATTATAAGGACAGAAGAAATAACTTGTCTAAATCATGTCATGTAGAGTGAAATTTGCGATTTCTAATGACAACTCTTCAAAATAGGTAGCCAGAATTAAAGTTCAACTGTATAAGAACTTTATACTGAATGCATAATGCAAGTTTAAGGAAAAGTGGGCAAAATGAAGAAAAAAAAATTTTTCCCTTGTGTCTATATTGTAAATATATCACTAACTATATACATTGTCTTTGTCTTTTCAGGAATGTATCCTCAGTGGTATGTTGTCTGTGGTTGGGAAGAAGGTGTTGCATATGGATCGCAACAAATATTATGGAGGAGAAAGTGCATCTATGACTCCACTGGAGGAGGTAAGAGTTTCCTTTATTACAATTCAATCAATGCTGCTGCTACTGCTGCACTTGATTTGATTATTACTCAAGAGAAATTTCTCTTCTGCAAAAAAAAAAAAGAATTTGTAAAAGTATTTTGGATAACATTAGTTTGTTGAAGTCTTTAGCTCTCACTACCATATAATGCTACTACATGTATGTTTGAATTTAAACTGACTCTTACCTTGATTTGGAACTTTGATCTAGTCATCAGGAAATTGATATATCTATTATAATGCTACATAGTAATCACAATTTTACTATGCTACCTAAGTGCACTCATTGATCCTAGGGAGAAGTACTGGTATATACATATATAATCCAGTCATTTCCATCCACTTCAGATGTTATGTACTTGTATATTATTTAAAAACTTTATAAATATTAGTTATTTTTTTTATAGCATGATTTTTGAACATTTGACACCCACTACGTCAAGAGAGATGAAAGCAGTACATAACCTACCTACTTAGAAAGCTGGTCTAAACACCTGGTAGAACAAGGATTAGGAGATATAGCAAAAAAGACAAATTTTACAAAGGGCAGGTAATTCTTGAGAACAATGATCATCCATGTCCTGAAGGGACATGGAACATAAAAGCTATTTTCAAAATAAACTTAAGTCTATCTTTTAAAGATAAATTACCCCCAACCACTCAGCAATTGCTTTTCTAAAACCAGAAACCTTCATTTCAATCAGTGGTAGATGTGCTAATCTTGATGATTGATATTTTTTTTTTTTTTTTTTTATTATTATTCACCATAAAGAAATGGTAGTACCAAATTTAAAGGATCTTAATTCTTAATATATTTATTAATAGGAAGGCAGATCATCAAATTCCTCTCTAGTTATAAGCTGAGTAGAGTATTAGTCATAAACTTTTTTTTCACTTGATGAATTTAGCTTGAAAGTTGATTGTTCAGTCCCTTCCTCACTTTTTTTTTCTCTCTCTCTCTCTCTCTCTCTCTCAATATATCAGTTGAAATGACTTGGTTCTAAAAGCTTTAAGGATCTTTCAAATAACTAATACAAATATAAAACCTGCCACATCAAGACTGTGCCACATTGCAAGTTTATTGATTGAAATCTTACATTGTCTAAATGTGTGTTTTTGTGTTTTTTTTTTTTTTTTTTTTTTTTTTTTTTTAAGCTATAAAAGAATCGTATGATTGAAACTTTAAATCTTACAATTTTTATTTTTACTGTTCATAAAGAAATGTGCTGTTCTTACTTGACACATTTTTTAACTGAATTTATTATATGTATCAAGTGTTTTTGGGAAGGTGGGGGGCTAAGTATTGGCAAAATTTGACTTTTTGATATTTCAAATCTAATCTCATTTATCACTATTCAGTTTTCCTTAATAGTAATTCCGTTTGCTAATTCGAATACTAAATGCATAAGCAATTATATTGATGTCATTATAAAACAACTTGTAAAATTGGTGTTATCAGTCGTTCATATTAAGAATAAAGTATTTAGCTTGAATATTAAACTGCTAGTTGTATAAAACTGAGATGCTGAAAAGTTCTTGCTCTAACCCATTTCCCAAAAATTAGTCAAATCACACACACACTTTTTTTTTTTTTTTTTTTAAATGGTGTGGCCAGAAGACAAAAAAATAACGAAAGGTAACCCCTCTCTAACATATATATATATATATATATATATATTTGTGTGTTATAAGTTTCCTTCTCCAAGGAATGGTATATGTTGGCATAGATTTTCCTCATTTTTCATTAATATTGTCTTTACAGATATTTTTTATATATAATATCTGAATTTTTATGTGAATTCAATATTAAATGAGCAAGATAAGGGTGCCTTATTGCAAATCCATGTTGCTTTTTTTTTTTCTTTTTTTTTTTTTTTTTTTTTTCTAGGCAAAATTAAAAATTAGAATCAAGCTTGGTATTCCTTATTAGTCTATGATTTAGTGGTGGTGGGGATACTTTGCTTAATTTTCAGTTCAAAACTCTCTGGAGGTTACCTGGTTTAAGAATCACCTGATGAAGGCTAAAGCACCGAGACCAGCAACAAAGATGCATACAGTAGTTTGCATGTAAATAAATAAATAAAAAAAAAAAAAACAAACAATGCTCTTCATTGTTTGCTAAACTGTAAGATGCTAGCTACTGATCTAAAAACTAAGCTCTTATTTGTTTAATCTTTATTTTATTCAATACAATTAACTAGCATATCTTCCATTCCACCCCCCACATTTTTTTTTTTTTTTTTTTACACATATATAAGTGGGACACTGAGCAGTGACAGTCTGTTTCATGTTTGATCACAATCTTCAGACCATGGATATTGCATTTAACACCATTTCCCTATATATATATATATATATATATATATATATATATATATATTATATTATGTATGTGTGTGTGCTGATGCCATTGATATCTGCTAAATAATTTTGATTTGAGAAATGTTTTTAAAGCCAAAATGATTCATTAAAGGGATGTTAACATTAAATTTATGGCAGATACCTTAAGTTTCAAATTTTAGCATTTGATATTTGGCTGTTTCTATTCATAAATATTGATCCAGCTATCTGCATGGTTGTACTGACATTAGGCATAGTGCTTTGTTCTGATATAAAGGAAGGTAACGTCTACTCCCCCATCCCCTTTTTATAAAAGTGCTAAATTGCAATAGCTTAAATTTGTCTTTTTGCATTTTCCAGTTGTACACAAAATTCAACATGGGTTGTCCCCCACCAGAATTTGGACGAGGAAGAGATTGGAACGTGGATCTTATTCCCAAATTTCTAATGGCAAATGGTATGTTCTACTAAATACATGCAAGTTGGGAGAGAAAAATATCTCTTCATACTGTAAAATGTAATTGTTTGCATGTATTAAATATTCATCCTTTACAGTTAATGTTGGTTTTGAGCTGTTTCTTCATGCCTGAGTGTGGTGTTGACCAATAAGGGATTGTGAAATTCTTATCATTTAGTCAGATTTTGGAAGGGGTTAAACAGAACTATTCTGCAATGTTAAAAATAAAATAGTTCTATTTAATATTTTTGTTTCATTCCTGACCTGGCATCTGTTTCAGTCACTTTCCCACCACCACCACCATAATCTAGTTTCTCTGTGCCTTTTCTACAAATATTTTTCATGGTAATTATTCTAAGCTTTCCCCTCTAATACCTGAACTTTATGAATTTAAATTCACTACTAGATTGGCATCTAAATTTCATTTTAATGATGAGATTTTGCTAAATGTAAATTCTATTCTAGTAGTTTCTTCTCTTGCCCTTCTTGCCTGTGCAACTCTCTTCAGCTTTCACTGTCAACTATGGTCTGAAATGCAGCATTGTCATCTGTTCTTTTTATATTTTAAAAGCCTTTTCTCTTGTCCTTTCTCTTCAATAACATTTTCCTTGTTTCTTTCACTTTCAATAACCCTTTGTGCCTTAGTGGCTCTATTACCTTGGGTGAAATGATTTAAAAATAAAATAGTTCTATTTAATATTTTGTTTCCTTCCAGGCCAGTTGGTAAAGACTTTGATCAGAACTGGTGTGACTAGATATTTAGAGTTCAAATCTGTGGAAGGTAGTTTCGTGTACAAAGGAAACAAGATACACAAAGTACCTGCCGATGAAAGAGAAGCTCTAGGATCATGTAAGTATTTTTTTTATAAAGCTTTTTTTCTTTTCTTAAATCTGAAAGTTTTAGTACTTCTAACTCGGTTATATAGTTGGATATATATTAAAAAAAAAAAAAATCTTTTGTATATTGATTGGAAATTTTTTTTTGCCTTTTAACATTTCTACTATTATACAACACTTCGTGTGGCACTTTATCTCAATTTAAGAAATTTTTAATCTATATCCTGTATGATTGCCAAAGTTGAACGATAAACCTAGTCAATATCTAGATGGGTGATCACTTGGGAATACCAGGTGCTGTAATTTTGGACATACTGGTGGTGTAATGGCTAACAGCTCCAAAATCACAGAGCCAAATTTCAGTTGCAAGTGTTGTATTCACTTGCAAGCAAATACTCTTGGGAAAGGTATGAATCAACCTCTTCTCCACTCCCGGTATTGGTTAATTAAAGACTTGTATCCCTAAACCATTGTCAACGGAAAAAAAAAATCAATTTCACATATTGAACATGTTTTTTTTTTTTTTTTTTTCCCTCTCACTCTCTCTCCCCACACACACACACACACAATTTAAATTCAGTTCTGGAAATTCTTTGATTATTATGGAATTTTTATTATGATTATCCTGCTACCTGACATTTTTACTTTAAATATAAAGTTCTGATTACTTTTCACATAAACACTGAACATTATTTGGCAAGTATCCTAAATGTGTGTGATGAACAGTTTTGCTGAAATTTAAGAGATTTTAAGATTTGTTTTTATTTTCTGCATCATAGTTAAATATTGTTTCTCTTTTGTAATGATGATCTTTTGGCTTTTACTAGTAAGCAAGGAAACTTGAATTACAAGGAAATGATACCTACCACTGTTAACTTTTCATTGTCTATAAACAGTAAATCCTTGTATCCTTAAATTTTTCTTCACTGGGCAGTGGGGGGTATTATAAATGAAAAATTACTTTACAAACTACAGGCTTATTTCTTTTGAAATTAATCTTATCCATACTTAACACTATCGATCAAAAGTTTGAGGCCACCCTCTGCATTTAATAATTAACAAGTTTCATGCCTTCTTTGCTTTAATTCACTTTTAAGCTAGGATGCTGAAACTATAACTGATTGGTGCATAACCTCTCCTTCTCTCTCTTTCCTTTTTTTTTTTTTTTTTTTTGTAAGGAGGTGGCGGGGTACCTAAGCCTTAGAATCCCTAGCCTAATAATGGGTTAATTTCATTATTAACTATATGGTAAATACCTTCAGGAAGAATCTTGCTGGCTCAAAATGACCTAGTAAATGAGTTTTGAAAAAAGGGCATGAAACAGTTAATATTTTAGTTGATTCTTCAAAATCCACAGTGTGGTCTCAAACTTTTGGCCTATCTTTTGTGTACATGGTAATTATTTTGCATCGTATTTGTTTCACAGCTTTAATGGGTATGTTTGAGAAACGCCGTTTCCGTAAGTTCTTGATATATGTGCAAGAATTAGATGAAAATGATCCCTCTACATGGCAAGGTTTGGACCCTCACAAGTGTTGTGTAAAAGAACTTTATGATAAATTTAGTCTGGATGGAGGTACTGTTGATTTCACTGGCCATGCACTCTCCTTGTATCTCAGCGATGAGTAAGTATCTGTTTCTTTACTATTTATTCTAGTTCTGTTTCTGTTTTTTTTTTTTTTTTTTTTTTTCTTCTCTCAATAATTATAAGCATCAGTCCAAGGAGCATTTCATTCAAAGTTTAAATTGCTGTTCACAATTAGGCCAAAACTAAACCTGGAACTTATGGATAAAATCAAAATGTGGTTGGGATGAAAAAAAATCCTTTGACTTTCTCTTGATTTCATTCTCATTATCCTATCTTGCCTAAAACTTGTTTTTATAAGATTAGAAATCTATCAGTCAACCTTTTTATTACATCTTTAAAGTATTTGGTGTTGCAGACGTGCAAGGGGGTGTAATGGATAGTGGCTTGGAATGAGAAATCTATACAATTTGAATTCCAGTTGGGTTTGTTACATTTGCTTATGTGCAGATACTCTTGGGGAAAAAACTAGGAATCCATCTCCACCCCTTAGCTATGGATTAAATAGAATTTGTATCTAGAAAAATAATTATTCTAAAAAAAATTCTTAATGCAGTTTTCGCTCTCAAAGAATTCTTACAATCCAAAATATTTTGGCTTTAAATAACATACAAAGGGTTGATATACTGTTTGTTAAAAAAAAAAAAATTTGGTCTTGCAGAACTTCAGACTTGTGACCAATTTAAATTGTGTTTTAAGTAGTTTGCCTTGTATTTGTACTACAAACCTAGATGCATTCCTGAAAATTTGCATCAGCATTTTCCTGTTACCTTTTTAAAATATGAAAATGAATTTACTTATTCAGCAAAATATGCTTTCACCATCTCTTCTTTATACGTTGAAGCTTGAAAAATCATTTGTTTAACCCATTCTGTATACTTCAGCATGTTATCAATGTCTATTTCTATGTCTCTGTCTAAATGAGAAATCTATAAATGCCCACTACTGAAACTTTTTTTCCTTTTCCTTTTCCAGTTATTTTAACAACTCTGCCATTGATATTATTAAACGGTGCAAGCTTTACAGTGACTCATTAGCACGTTATGGGAAGTCTCCCTATTTGTACCCATTATACGGATTGGGAGAGCTGCCACAGGGCTTTGCTAGGTAAGTATTTAGTGTATTTGTTTATTTTTGTATTCATCCTAAGCCTAACCAATTTTATGAAACTTACCAGTATAGGAGAGTATTTGGGGGGGGGGGTTATAACTTTATTATATTTAAAGCAAATGTTTATTTTGTCAGTTTTTTAATTTTCTGTGTAACCATGTGACCTGTTAACAAGAGAACATTTTGGAATTAACTGATGCAGTGTTATTTTTCTACTGATAAACTCGAGGCACGCACCATCTCTGCGTGTGTGTGTCTCTGTCCCTGCATGTGTGTGTTTATCTTATGTTTTATTATATTTGTATTTGTGCTGTCTTTTAGACTTAGTGCAATCTATGGGGGAACCTACATGCTGGACAAGCAAGTTGATGAACTGGTAATGGAAGATGGAAAAGTTGTTGGAGTAAAGTCTCAAGGCCAGGTAGCCAAATGCAAAATGGTCATCTGTGATCCATCCTATGCTCCTGAAAGGTGTAAAAAAGTTGGGCAGGTAAGTACACTTCAGGAAAAAAAAAAATCAAACTTTTCTTTTTATTCTCTCCTTAATGCCACATTTTAACCTGTTTTGACATTTGGTATGCTCTTTTAGGGCAACTCTTTCGCTTCTCTACCTGTCTTTTGTCAAAGCATATCTGCTATTTTCATGACGACTGAATGACACGTTATGAATTAATAATGGTAATTTATTATTATTACTACTACTACAACTACTACTTCAAACTTTCTTTATCTTTGCACTTTTAGGTTGTGCGGGCAATCTGCATCTTGGACCATCCTATCCCTAACACAAATAATGCCCTATCTTGTCAGATTATCATTCCACAAAACCAGGTGGACAGGAAAAATGGTGAGTGACTGCATCCATAAAATATCTGAAGTTTTCCATTTATTTTCATGTGTGTATGTAATATACACACTTATTCTGAAGTATTTTGCTACTCTATTGCTATTTCCATAACACATGTCCTTACTAGTTATTTGTTAGTTCTGCCACTTGTAACCGTCACAGCAGACACGCACAATGCCATGTACACTGAGGTCAAACCATACCTATTCCATTGGTAACAAGGTAGTACCCTCTGGGCAGCTTTTTCCCCGGGAGCTGCTACTTAGTGGAACAGTTTCTGAAGGTGATGCTCTACTGATCACCATAATGTTAACCTCTTTAAATTTAGATCTGACAGTTCCTCATAAACAGCAATTCTTATCTCTTACAGGCTCTTGAACTTTGTATTGGGTCAACCTTAATTTTAAAAAAAAAAAAAAAAAAAAAATGACACATTCATTTATGTGCGTGTCAGTCTAACTAGGGGTTAGCCATGAAGCACTGAAGAAAATGAAATTGCTTCTTGGTCAGATTTTGTGTTGTCTTTACATTTTTTTCTTCTTTATCCTCTTTTTTTTTTTTTTTTTTTTTTTTTTTTTTAAAAAAAATGTTGAACCTAGGAATTTTCAGCAATCTCTATAAAATAAAAATATTCTCTGGCCCATAAACAGTTTTATAATCGAAATTTTAGATACCGATAATATTCTGTTTTTTTTTTTCACAAGCGACAGATGGGGATGATTATATTATCCTTGATTTCTTCTACTGTTTGAATAATGTCAAAGCTGTGTCTTAATCAGATGAAATTTGCCTTTTCAGATATTTATGTATGCTGTGTATCTCATGCTCATAATGTAGCTGCAAAATCCTTTTACTTGGCAATTGTCAGTACAACAGTAGAGACTGACAAACCGGAAGAAGAACTTAGTGTTGGCTTGAACCTCCTGGGCTGTATCAGACAGAAGTGAGTCTATTTTCTTTTTATAAATACTTTACTGTTATTATTTGAAGTTTGTTGGTGATACCAGTTATTGGTGTGGAAAATGAAATCAGCAGACTGAGTTGAAATCCCAGCCAAGGTTGTTCATCTCATGCTGATGCCCTTCAGATTGGTATGGACCCTTCTATTTTATATCCCTCCTAATCAATAAGATAGAACATGTTCTGTTCTATAATCTTGGTTGGTATCCAATCTAGGAGAAGGTAATGGGAAACCACTCTTCCATCATCTTTACAAAGAACAAATGTCAATTAAGGTCTGAAAGCTTTGGCAAACCATGCATACTTTTATACTTTGAAAGGGGATAGGTCATTCTTTTGGAAAACAACAAAAAGATCTTATTGCATGTAGAGACAATTTGAATAATTGTTTATGCTTAAACAATTTACATGGAGGAGGAATAAAAATAAAATAAAAAAATTTGAAAAGTGTTTTTTTTGGGGGGGGGTTCCAAGAGGGGAGCAGCAACTATATTTTGATTAATGTAAATGAACTTTTATGGTAGAGTTTCTGAAGATTTTTTTTTTTTTTTAATTTCCTAATAACTTTTTTTTTTTTTTTTTTTTTTTTTTTTTCATTCCAGGTTTGTTAGTATTAGTGACCTTTTAGAACCTACAGATGATGGTACTCAAAGTCAAGTAAGTATTTTACAAATATTACTTCACTTCCATACATGTTCATTTTATAATTGTGAAAAACTGAACAGATCCTGTCATGGTAACAAATAACTAAAGAGTTGCTTCATCTCTGACAATACCTTTTGCAGGATCATGGCAGTTCCTACCAATGCTAATTTCTGGAGCAACTTTATTCCAAGCATTTACAGGTTACTGTTCAGTCTTGCCTAATGATGACAGTAGTATCCATGTTGATGATATCTGTACTCTGCATGGGGGAACATAGAAATTCCTGGGTTGGTGTCTAGAGGAAGTAGGGTGCATGATTTTTTTTTTTTTTGCTGGTAAACCTTTTAAACCAAATTTCATTTGTGAAATGAAAACAGTGGGTTGCAACTGCAAGTTAGATTAGTATTCGTTTGTTGGAATTTTTTCAAGCTGCAACAGTTGACATAATCTGAAGGGAAGGAGAGTTTGTTAGAACAATCATCATGAAAGCATTTATAGAAAAGGGGCAGGGGAGCTGTGGTGGGAAAGTAACTGAAGCCGACGTGCCAAGTCAGGATCAATAATATTGTAGATTCTTTTTGGGATTTTATCAAGAATCTCTACATAATATAGGACAACCAGACCAATTGTGACAACAATATTCAAAGCAAAGATGAATGGTAAACAAATATAAAATTTATCAAATAGTTGATGTTATATTCAGAACCATGACTTCAGAGTTTCATAGGAAAACTTTTTTTTTATTCAGTCCACTCATCAGGATGTTCCACCACTTAACAGGTTCTCTCTCTATCTATCTATATATATATATATATATATATATATATATATATATATATATCCTAATCAATTTAAGTAGAACTTAATTATTATTAAATGTTGACAATTTTGAGTGCAGCAAATGTTTTCCAATAATTTAAGGAATTTAATTTTTGGGAATGTGTATATTGAAGTCTGCGTAATTTGGTTGTAGTTGTTCCAGGTACGTTTATACATCTTTCTTTTTTTTTTTTTTATTTATTTATTTATTTATTTATATATATCTGATACCAAGATGTTTTCTTCTTCCATGACAGATTTTTATCTCTAAGTCATATGATGCCACAACCCACTTTGAGACCACTTGCATTGATGTCTTGGATATCTTCAAACGAGCCACAGGAGAGGACTTTGACTTTTCTAAAGTCACACACGCTAACATGGATGAGGAACAATGAGGATTGCTGATGCTATTATCAGGTGGCACGGGAGCATTGTTGCCGTCGTCGTTGTCGTCTTTGAGGCCAGTGGGGAGTCTCTCTACCTTGATAACTCGCGCTGCCTCATCTCTTCTCCCTCTCTGTTCTTTCTCGACGGCACCCTTCTCCTTTAAGCAGCCCATTTTGTACATCCCAGCAGCTTACAGCTAGTCCAAGTCATTAGGCTTTTGACATGCTTGTTCATACTACTAAGTCTTATCAGTCATCTTTTGTGACGTCCTTCTATAATGTAGTCTATTCCCCCTCCTGCAGATGCTTGGTGTTTGCTATATTCCTTAGCCGGACATGTGCAGCACCCTTACACTCTCTCTCAGGAAGGCTGTACACTATTGCAGCAGGGCAGAAATTGTCGTTAGGTATCTTGTTTGCACTTTTCTTTAGGAGGGAAGGGGTCTTTTTCCAGTACTTTAGCTTTGCCCCCTCTCTTTTGATAAGTTAGAAAGTCTTTGTCACGAGATGACTTTTCTTTCTTTTTCTTTTCTTTCTCTTTCCCCCGTTCCTCATCCTCTCTGAAGAATTGATGAAGTCTTTTAACTGCCTTCACTCAAGTTGTTGCTGAATGCCGAAATGTACCTGAGAGATTTTGTACATCTTTGTCTGGCTTTTGCTATGCTAAATGACCCCAGCCTTGTTCTCAATACATTTCAGTTTTATTCACCCCAACACCCCCCACCCCACATGTCACTATTATTCTTTAGGACTTTGAAAACAAATCTTACTTTCAAAAAAAAAAAAAAAAAAAAGTAATCCCCCCCTTTATGGGAAAGGAAAAAGTGATTTTCAAATTTAAATGAGATTACTTTGTTTTTGAGAGTAACAAATTGAAATTTAAATGCCTTCAGTTTTCAGATATTTTAATCTTTTCCTTTTTGTGAATCATGCAAATTTAGGTTCTTCAAGTACATTCCTTGATGTACATGATGATGATGATGATGATGATAGTATGATTTTTTTTTTCTCTTGAAAAAAGCAAGAAACACTGTATTAATTTTTTATATATAATGGGACCCTCTTTGTCCATTGGCTAGACATGAAAGAAATAAAGACAGTATTTAAAAAATGTCTTATTTTTCTCTCTGTTCTGTTGTCTCCTCCTGAGAAGTAATGTATACTTAATTTAAAAAAAAAAAAAAAAAAAAGTTCTGTTCTATCGAGGAAAAAATACCTTGCCTTGCAAAAGTTACTTCCTTATTAAATAACAAATTCAGACAATTTTTGCCCTGTTTCAAGTGAAAGAAAAGAAAAAAAAATGCTAATGATTAAATAAAAAGACTAAACCTTACTTTAAATTCCTTATCTTTTGTAGTTTGTTTTATTGATTAGAATCATAAACGTTATCAACTTTGCATCCACACTGACCATACATAGGCAGACCCCACACAACACAAGTGATGACAAAGGACTGATTTTAAGCAACAATAAAAAATAAAATCCATCTGCTATGATGAATGTAATTGGTGTTCGTCTACTTATGCCTATTTGTAATGCATAAATTGTACTATCATCTTGCTCTATATTTGACTTTTTTTTTTTTCTTTCTTTGCCATACTATTTGGGTTAAGAAATCTCCTCTCTCTCTCCCCCCCCCCACCGCCGCTGCCACCATAAGAAAAAAATTCCCCATCTTCTCTTTTTACTGTGTTAACTTACTTTTTACTGTTAACTTGAATGTTTATTAAAGAGAAAATAATGCAAGATTGTAATTTCTCAACATGAAAAAAAATACTGAACCAACCAACAAACGCAATAAGAAACTTGTTCCCACCCCACCCACTGCATACTCTGGAAAATAAATTCCTCCCTACCCCTCCCAGGATTTTAAAGAAAAAAAAAAAAAAAAAGAAAAAAAAAGATAAATAAAAATGCTGCAAAAGAAAATTGAAATAAACTCCAAATTTGCTCTTGTAATGATTCTGGCAATGTAGCCACTCTGATCATGTACATATCTATTTGTATGTTTGCATGAAGATGATTCCAGATTGTTAAGAATAATGCTTATCTTTGAAACAAGGGCAAATAAAATTCATGTGAAAAACAATAGCACAAATTTCATTTCTTTCTATTTTTAATTGCTGTTATTAAAAAAAAAAAAAAAAAAAAAAATAAATTCATTGTATATTTTCCCTTTTTATTCATTCAAAAGATATTAAAATTTTATTGTATTTTTAGTTATTTAAATTTAAGAAAAGTAATTGTTTGTTGGGGGTTCATAAATGTAGCTATTGAATCTCTTTGACAAGAGCTATAATCTGATACTCCAACAAACTAAATCTCTATCAATTATTCTCTTTGAATTGAACATCAATTTAGGAATCTCTTGGCTATTAAACCTCAAAGAATACTAGTAGTCTTGCAAAACTAAAGGAGTGGGGGGGAATCTTTATGGAGTGGTTTTTCAGTTTATTTGTCTATTCAATCCTCAGATTAGCATTCATTTGAAAATTAATACTGCAGGGTTTGGGAGGTATTTCTGCTATACATCTAATGCACAGCTTACTCAAGTCATTAGTTATTAGTCTGAGTTATTCAGCCTTTCCCTCCCACCCCCTTTTTTTGTCATAGCATGTACCTTCTGTTTGTCTTAAACTGAATGCAGTTTATGCAAATGATTTTCAATGGTTGATTTCACTGTTGGTTATTGCACATGACCTACAGTTGTTTACATTCATTTAGCAAACAAAAGCATGGGGAGCTCTAGTAACGTGTGTGTGTGTGTATATATATATATATATATATATATATCTCATAAATTTTATTTGTTTTCCCATTCTAGACCAACCAATATTAGTTTCTGAAGCGATCCAATGAAGGTGACCTTTGGCCGTTTCAGAATAATCAAATTCCGTCTAAAGTTAAGCTTCCTTTCGTTTTTCAACCATAGTTCTTGGGATGATCAGGGAAATTTGAGTTTAACAGTTTCAGGCAGTCTGTTTAGGGAGTAACTCTCAAACAGCACGGCTAGGCTCATTTTAATTGTTGCCATTATTGAAGAACTCCAGTGCTTTTCCATTAACTTATAATCAAGCATATTCGATTATTTGTGCTGGGGATTGGGATATTAGGTTAGTAATAGTTTTTGTTCCAAAAGTCTCTGCTACTTTTAGTCTGACGGTAACTAATCCTGATTAACTCTAGCATTCAGCCCACCTGTAAATATCTGCTCTCAACGTTTAACCTAGCTTCTGTATACTCTGCCATAATGTGATGTCATCATTGCAAATAACAAAGTCCTACAAGCAGTGAGACTTTGAAAGCCAATATTTATGGGTTAAGTTTCTTTGTTGAATGCTAAAGAATTAAGCAATTATTTAGCTCAACTAAAAAACCCCAGAGAAATTTATTTCATAGTATATAAATATTTTATCAAAGTAAATGTTAAAATCATTTTATATACAACTTTTTCTTTTCTTTCCTTTTTTCTTTTCACTTTGTCGTCACCCCCCCCAACCTTTTTGTTTCTTTTTCCTCTTCCTCTCCCTAACAAAGGGCATGAATGAAAACATAACTTGTCTAAATTTACGACTTAAATCAGTCCAAGTTGGCTTCATTAGATTTTGTTCATATAACATGAGGAAGTACATTTTTTTTTTTTTTTTTTTTTTTTTTATGATGAATAAAAGTTTAATTCTTATTTGCTTGACACCACTATTACTGCATACACTTTTCTCACAATGTTGATTTACAAGATAAGAAAAGTAAACCAAGTACAATGCAACATTTATTTACTTTTGTTTTTTGTTTTTTTTTATAAAGATTTACTATTTTACGTAGAAATTTTTGAATCTTTTTTAAAAAAGAACAAAATATAAAAAAAACTACACTGCAACATTTATTACCGTTTTATGAAAATAAAAAAAATTTAGTCTAATAAAGTTAACTTCATTTTCAATAATTTACAAAAAAAAATGTAAAAATCCATTATGCTACTAAAATTTCAATGTTTTGTTTTTTTTTGTTTGTTTTTTTTTTCCATTGCCAAGAGTGTCAAATGTGTATACAGTATACCACTGTCATTCGATTTTGTTTTTCCTGGTCATTGGCCTTATTTTTTTTCCAGTGAACTGAACTTGTCCAAGCTTTGACAATTTTGGTTATCAAGCATTATGTACAGTAAATCTAAGTCATGATATTGAAAAATAAAATGATGGATTAAAACAACCTAGGATATTTTTATTCCTAATGGTTCACTGTTACAAATTAGTACAAGTCAAGACTGAGTGAGTGTTCTAGCCTTCTGAGCCAGTTTCTTATTGGCTTGAAATAAACTTGATTCAGGCTGAAACCAAGAGCTGGCATTACTAATTGCGTGTACACACGCATTATTGACATTTTGTATTGACAAAAAAAGAAAAGAAAAATTGTTCCCCCCCCAAAAAAAAAAGGCGTTGGTTGAAAACAAGGATTGAGAAACACTGCTGTAGATTGTTGTTATAAAGCGAGTTTTGATGCAATTTCTTCTGGGTGATAAGCAAAGTTCATTTTCTGAATGCTCTCTTCTTAAAGACTGGAATTAGCTTGTTTGGCACTCCAGTATATATTTACATTCTAGGGTAGCATCCATTGTAGATAGGTTTTGTCTGAGAAACCACCACCTCCCTGGTCTTACTACCATGCAGGAAGACTGACTCTAATGTATCCAGGAAGAACTGCTGATCTTGTGGACTAACCAAGCTAGAGTTCTTCTCACTTCAAAGTCCTTGAACTTTTTTTTTTTTTAATCATTTCATCCCAAGTAAGGCAATAAAGACATGAGTTACTGAGTGAAAAATAAAACCTTAATGAGAGAGAATAATAAAAGAACAGGATTTATGAAACGCTGATGAAAAAAAATTAACATTGCATTTAAAATTTTTGAACATTGAAGTGCCAAGATATTTGAAGTTTGAATGATTTTAATTGACATGCCATCTCATGCATACATGTGGCCTTTTTTTTTTTTTTTTTTTTTTTTTTTTTTGGGTTGAATGAGAAAAGAACATATGCTACATCTTCATATTGAACTGCAAACTGATATTGCTTGTTTCAGTCTTAACTCTGGATAGGGACATTCTTGGCCTCAACTGATTTGGTTTTTAAGCAGAGGAACAGATCAAGCCTCTGAACTTCTATAAAGGAATTCTAATAA